GTGAAGCTAATTAGCTGCAGCTCACTTTTTGCTACTCTCATTTACTTCAACCACGTCGCAAAAAAAAAAAAACGTTGGAAGAACTTCTAAACTTTGTAATCCCAGCAGCGAAATTCCGAACGAAATTGGCATTATTACAATAATCAGTCGTTTCTCAGCAGTCTATAATATGAAAATACGCCGCATGAGAAATATCCATGCTTTCTTTCATAATTTCTGTGTCAAAAGTTGCAAGTCAATATTTTCAGAAAACATGTTCGGCTTTTTATGCTTGGCCATTATGATGAATCTTTTTGAATTAAAATGCAAGTTGACCTTGACCCCATGAATATCAGCAGACTTTTTCGTAGACCTTACAAATTTCCTAAAGTTTATAACTTTTTTCGCACACAATGAGCGGATTTCGTCGAACTGAGGAAGAAACATGAAAGAGAAAATTGTCTTGACAAAAGATTCTTTCGAAATGATTCTTTCGACAGGCGTTCGAAATAATTCAACGAAATACCGTATGAAACTCACTAAAGTTTGAAGTGAACTAATCATACTCTCCAAAATCGAAAAAACATTCATATTCGAATTTTTGTAACATTTTGTGAACGAATACATTTAACGAAAATCACCAGAGACACCCGAAATTTTTTATGACAGTACAGTATACCTTCACAAATGCGCAAAATCTCATAAAATTATGCAAATACAATATTTTACAAAAGAACCGAATATACTCACCGAGAAAAACTTTTGGCTGTAATCCTTGAACATGGGCACTGAAGAAATTCACCACAACAAACAACGTAAACCACATAATAGCAGATCAATTCGTGCTCGAGGAATTGAACTGCATTCGATGTTCACTATAAAGAGAAAAAAAGATTTGCATTCGGTGAAAAGCAAAATAATATCAAAATAAGAAAATTGAAAATGAACACCCTTTTTAAAAATGTGAAGTCAGGTCAGCACCTCATTGAAACTTCTCGGATGAGAGAAAAAGTAAAACGCATTTCAACCCTCGGAAATTTTTTGGCTTGAGGAAGCAGTACAATTATATCCATGGGAAAAATGATCCTCTGAGATAATTTTCCTTAAAATCTTCAAGTCGAAGTAAAGCAATCGTAGCTATTTTTTATTCATTCATGCGAAAAACGTGACTCTTGGAAATTGCGCTCCAAGAAAGCCTTTACATTTGCTGTATGTATTTTCCAGAAATTCTAAGGACCGTCTTAGTAAAGTAAAATACTTTCGAGGTTTTTTTTTTAGATTTTTCATTTTTACAAATAGAATCTTCTTAAGATATATTTGAAGAAACGAGCAAAAAAAATTTGACTTGAGGAAGTTCCGACCAAGGGAGGTTTTAAATTTGAAAAAAAAGTTGTTGTTGTGGGGAACATATAAGAATTGCAGGGAATTATAATTGTTAATATTCTGGGCAATAAATTGCTTCTCAAATGAGTTGGCAGAATGTTAAGCATGGAAGCAGGTGTTCATTTTACCCAGTTAGTCTTTCACTTCCTTTCAAAAACAAATAAATTTACTTTTTTATTGCCTTCCTCTTTCCTGTGTCAAGAAAATAAAAGCATAAATAGAGGCCACAGAAACTTAAAATTACAGAGGTTTTAAAAGAAAAGCCATTGAGTTATACAGGTTTTTAATGGTTTTCTTTTAAGAATATTCAGAGGGGACAAGAAGTAAATTTCACTTGGGGAGATTAGGGTTATCAAGGTTCAACAGCAGTAAATCTTCAAATCTTCCCATGCCAATTATTATTTTCTAATCGGTTCAAATCCCACTGCTGCCACCATTGATGAAGTGGAATATTTATTTCCAATTCCAAATAAATCTGCCTCCTTCTCCCTTCGAGTACATAAGGGGTTAATTAACAGAGAATAAATAACTTTCAATGATCCTCGAAGGAATAAAAGGCAAATATTTGCATGCGGTGAAGAACGAAAATTATCAAAATGAGATAATTGAAAATGAAGACACTTTGTAAAAATTGGAAGTCAGGTCAGAACTTTATTGACAAATTTCGGATGAAAAAAATGAGGTTCGAACAAGAAACTCATTTCAACCCTCGGAAAATTTTTGGCTTTGATAAGCAATACAATTATGCCAAAGTGCAGGTTCCTAAAAACAAGTCACCAATTCAACAACCAAGTTCGGTTCTCTAGAATTTCTGAAAGCAGCCTTGGAAATTAATATTTTTTTCTTCTTCTTTGCACTCGAAAGCTTTATGGAGGAGAACTGAGGAGAGAAAAGTTATGCCTCCCCCGAACCGCGCCGCAGCTGACTAAATGGCTACGATCCAGAGGCCATGGAGGAAAAAACCCCAGTGCAGGGACAGAAAAAACTCATTTATCAAAGTGAAAAGAAGAAGAAGAAGCAGGACAGGAAAAAAGTGATATGCGAAAAAATCTTTCCGACTGCTGAATATTTCTTTTCCTAGCTCCGTGTTCGTTTTATGTATCTGTTTGATCTTCTTCGCTGCGACGCGGAAATCTGCCCGCGAAAAATCTCCAGCCATGTGCTGGTCGCAAAAAAATGAAAAATGAAATGAATACTAAGGGAATTTTCTACGGGCAATTACGAGATTTTTAATTTTGTTAAAGCAATATTTGCGAAGAAAAAAATGTTGATCCACCTGCATCATATACAAATCAACCTTGGAAAAATTACTGATGGTTTAAAAAACTATTAAGCGCTTTAGTTTTCTTTGCGCAAATTTTTTTTGAGACTTTTGGGTGACGTTTTGAAAGAACCATCGTTTAAAATTGGATTTTTCTTCCGTTTCGGAAAAGTGCTTCATACAAATAAAATTTCAACATATGACTGATGATTTCGCAGAATATTCAAGCGCTTTAGTTTTCGGTACGCGTATTTGAGAATTTTGAGTGAAGTTTTGAAAGAGAAATCGTTTATACCAACATTTCGCTTCCATTTCGGAAAAGTACAAAGGCTTTCCGACAAAATATGATGTGATTGATGGGATTTTCCTTGGGTAGAATTGTAAGATAAACAATTTTGATGAGAAGCCGGAAGTACACTCATCTTCATGCCTTTGCACAAACATTTTTCTGAGCTGAAGTTCAAGTGCAGTATTTCTGAAAATGCAGCTGCTGTCCAGCCAATGATCCACAAAAGCGGATTGAAATAAAACTCAGCCTATCTGAGTTTCATCTGCTGTGGGTCTTGCAGGGTGCAGTGCATGGCCTTCAGGTAGCTCAAATTTGGTAGTATTTGGTCCATACTGGACACTACTCTGCTCTTGGCATGTCAGAGGCTACAGTGAGTAGGTTCCCACTGCCAAAAACTAATTTTGCACTTTCAGGGATTTGTTAACCTATTAGGGGGTCAAAGCTCTGGGGCTTTAACCCTTGGATGGCTAATATGTTGGACTTTTTTCAAAAAATTTCCTTGTACCCCAGGTGGAAGAAAAACGAATGAAGACAGTGTCATGTGGAAGGTGAAGTCAGGAAAAATCCTGGCATTTTTTCCCTTTGGGCAGAAAAATTTTGCCTGAAAATAAAAAAAATGCCCCTTCAAGTTTTTTTCTTATTTTATAGCTGTTGTGCTTTTCAGACCTGAAGATCCTTGCCAAAAAAATCACATGAGGTGAATCAAGCCAGGTAGAAATAGATAATTTAGACTGAAAATTCTATCCAAAATCCTCTCAATTTTTTTTCACCTTCTGTGTACGAAAAAATCCCTACTTTCATTGAAAAAGAATGTTATGGAGGAAGAACCTTGAGAAACACTCTGAAGAAGGTTTAGAAAGCCTGGGAAAATTTAGCTCTGTATGGGGAGTAAGGTTCAGTGGAAAAAAATTTCTGCATTTTTTCACACTGTCTGGCCTGAAAATCTCCCAAAAAATTCAAAAACATTAAAAAAAAAGATCTTGCGGCTTCAAGCTGAGGATGAGGTCAGAAGTGTGAAAGTTGGAAAAAGTCCTACTTTGGACAATTGCAGCAACTGCCATTTTAAAGATAAACCCTGACTTTGCCTCACCCAACCTGGGAGCATTTTTCTGACCTTCAGAAAACCAAAAATGCAGGAGCACAAAAAAATCTAACTCCATCCTGCAATGGAAAGGACCCTTCTGCCATCCTAGGGTTCACACAAGCAAATTCTTCCCAGCAGAGGGTACACTCTACCAGCACAAGCAAAGAGGAAGACTTTCCACAGTGGAATGCTCGTTTGTGGATTGCACACTGTGTACATCAAGTTGTGCATTGTTTACATTTTAGACACCTTGCTTTCCTCTTACAGGGGGTGCTTTATGGTTGACTGCCTTTCAGAGGCTTTTGTCGCAAATATTTCAACAACCATATTAAATTCAATACGCTAGCTTTAAGGGAACCCAAATTCCCAGTAAAGTTCTTCTTTCATTTCATCTGTGTGAGAATCTGGAAAGACCTTGGTCCCCACAGATGTTCTGCAGCCTCCAAGGCTGGATTTTATCACCAAAATCCTGTTGAGGTTTTTGTCCTTTAAAGACAGTTTTCTTGATTTCAAAACTTGGCAATTTTATTACAGTTCAATTCAAGCATTTGTGTGTGCATCATCTCTGAGATTTTGCAAGTTTTGCTTTTGTGTTCAACTTAACCAAAGTACACCAACTTCAAAATAGGGTGTTTTGCACCCCAGTTGTAACTCAACTGAATCATTACATTTTATTTCTCAAACTTCTTTCCACAAACTACAAATTAAAACTAAACCTTTTATTTGTTGGGATTTATTCCTAACAGGCAAGTCTACTGGCCACCACTTTTGTAACCCAATAATGATTGAAAAAGGTGGATATAAATGAAACTCAGTCAGTCGGCCATTAGGCAGACAGCTCCTCCTTAGTAGAGTCCCAAGAACCTCAGACTTATTGGCTAACAGAAAACAGGATATGCAGGGTACAGACTTGGTGATCTATAGCCTGACGGAACCTTGAAACTCCTTTCCTGTCACTCAAAACACACAGACTCAATGAGGCAATCAAACCGTAGCACACTTCAATGGAGAACAGTAGCAGGTCCTTCCTGTGGCAGGCAAGAGCTTCCAGTGAAGTCTTCCTGCCAGTCCTTTTCTTTTCCTCTCTTTTCCTGAACAGGTTAGCCACTGGCTTGTTGCATTGTAGCAAACCAGGTGTGCAACGGTGCTTCTGCTTTGCACAAGTCTGCAGCCACATGCCCAGGTTGGACCTTGGCAATTTTTTTTTTGCACTCATGACGCCTTATTGCATGACCCCACAGCTGCATATGGGCATGGTTGATTTTTGAAACCTTCAAAAAACAACTGCTTTCAAGAATTAGGTCTGTAATTTATTGTGCTTGGTACTGGAAGTAATCTGCAGCAAACGGGAAATCCCCAATGATAGATTTAGTGGCAATTTAAAATTTCTTGTAAGCATGCCATACGCATTTTTTGAAACCTACATTTTAAGCATCTGGCAGAGTTCCCCAACCCGTGGTCCGTGGACCATTGGTTTGCAGATGTTTTCTGCCAGTCCACATAAAATGTTCTTTACTATATACTATAATATATTTATAAAAATTAGCAATGAAGTCTGTCATCTTTAAGTGGAATGTTGGAAAGACAATGACATTTTCTGATATGTAATAAAAGTTGGGTTTTCTCCTATAATGACACTTCATAAAATTGTCACCTTCTGAAAAAAATTATTTGAGTGCTCATTATGAGAAATCTTCCTCAAAGCCCAACTTTCTATTTTTTGAGACATTCCAAATTAGCTATATTTAATTGGTTCTTAAAATTTTTTTAAAAAAATGCATAAACGTTTTTTAACCTGTCAGAAAGTCTTTGAAACAAAATGTTTTTGAGTCTGCAAAAATGTAATGAAGCTGTGTCAGCCTGCAGAAAATATTTTTGAAATACAGTGAGACCCCAAAATGTGGACACCCCAACATACAAAAACTTCACTTGGGGACACTTGAAAATGCAAAAAAATTCGGCCTGGCATCCAAACAATATCTTGACATACAGACACTTTTTCAGCATTTCTAGAACATTTGAAAATTTTGAATACTCCAAAATTTGAATATATCTTGAACAAATTGAGCTATTTATATTCACAGAATTTAAAACTATCATTATATATTTTTTTGAATTTATAATCAAAAACAGGTTAATTTTGTGCTTATTTTTTTTAGCATTCTCTATCATCTATATATGCATAGGATAGCAAAGCATATACGTTTTGTTTGAAATTTTGAGCCCTTTTCATGCCAGAGGATCATATTCTGTGCCAGTTTCTTCATTCTGAAAAGTCATATACTGTATCTTTGTGTTGATGAACACAAAGATACAGATCTTATTTGCTTTTTTTGGGCATTTATTCCTAATTTTCTATGAACTGGGAAACCAATTAAATGAGTTCATATTGAAGTCTATTGGAAAATGAGGTCCAACATGCAGACATTTTGACATAGGGACACTGTTCAGGCTTCAATCATGTCCACATCTTGAGGTCTCACTGTATGCTGGTCCACAAACAATTTCATGGGGATTTGCTGGTTCTCAGGCCCAAACAGGTTGGGGAACACTGTTCTAAACAATTATAAATGTCATTCTGAATTTCAAGACCACTTCTGTTCTTTCAAAGGTTAGCATGCACTGCTGATCCTTAGCGAAAAGAACTCTGCTCTATGATCAGTGAGATTTCTGCCCAGTGAGGAAGATGAAATTCTCTGTTCATCAGCTTACTTCCAAGTTCCAACGAACTGTTTTTTCTTCTTTAACCTAACTCTCTTTCAATGGTTTTTCATTCTTTGTGAAATTCTGTTTCTCTAACCTTGACTGATGAACAGATGAAAGCGAGTTAGGACCAGGAGAACTCACTGACCTTCGCGTTCAGTTCCGAGTCCAAAATTTAAAAACCGTCCTTACCGGTTAGCGTTACTACACATTCATTAAAAGCTCTAAACAAATTTCCTTCTTGAAAAATAGCAGCAGTGCTTCATGATCTCTTGTGCATTGATAAATGAGTCAAAATTCCATGCAGTGTCTTTTTCATGCTGATAAATCAAACAAGAGCTGCATTTTAGATCCAAAAAATATAGTTGCCCCATTCACATGATTTAGTATCAAATATCACCTCTGATTACGTGAATGATTATCATGGTACTGTAGTATTAAATGCATGAAACTTGACTTGACAAGATTGTGTTCTTTAATGTTTTTTGAATGAAATTTATTTCACGCACTCGCTTTATTGGAAAATATTTCGTTCCTGGCCCTGAAAAAAAAAATGTTTGCGGAGCCACGAAAGGTAGAATAAAGATAAAATAAATTTTAATGCCACAGTTTGGCAGTAAATGAAAGATAGTCAGTTTATTGAGGTCAAGGTTAATGAAAAAGAAGTGCTGCTCATTTTTTTCCAAATATGAATCATTTCCAGGTTTATAACCAATTCAATTTATGCTTACTCAAGCTCTACCAATTATTATTTTAAATGAAACGTAATTCACGGGGTTTTTCAATTTTTTGGTCCAAAATAGGCCAAGAGCTTTTATTGGTCAATCCTGATTTTTTCTCCGATGTCTTCAAAATGTTTTCAGTGAATAGGGATTAGGGAACAGGATTTTAAATTTTTTTTAGCATGTGTCATTTCTCTTGTTGCACAATTCCATTGAAGTTAATCAAGGTACTGTATTACCAATTGATTTTCTTGGAATTGTATTTCGTACGATTTTCGAATTCGTTTGTTTCTTAACGGCCAAACACTCGTCATTTTCTGGTCATTGTTGGACGTCTTCAGCATGTCTTCCTATGTGCATAAGCTACACAATTTCAAAAAAGGATATTCTGTTTATTTTAGAGTAAAATCTCGTTACAACGAAGTCCTTGGGACAAGCAAAGTAGCTTCGTTGAAAGTAGCTTTCATTCCACAATGAAAAATTCGTCACAAAGTAACTTATTCAACATTGTGACTATACTAAAGCAAGGACCCAAAACACGACTTCGTTTTATGTGATTATTTGTTATAACGAGGCTTTTTTTGTGACGAAATTGTACTCTGTTACAGGTATACACTGTAGCCGCATTCCCTTTTTTCCAAACACAGAAGGAATTTACAGGAGCAAAATTAATTATTTTTTTCTAGGAAATTCACCGCATTCGATTTAAAAAAAATTGTGTTTAATGGACGGAATTAAAAAAAGACAAATGCTAATTTTTCTATTCATTTCTGGCACAGTGTGAGACGTCAAGTGCAGGTACCCGATTGGACGGTGATCAAGGCCGGCTCTGTGGCCTACCTGAACCACGTGAAGCAATGGGTTCGGGAGAACCCGGTGCAAGCGTGTGCAGTGGCACTCAGTACCCTGGCCGTCGTGACCGCCGTTCGCAGGTCTTTCCGGAAACGATGCTGCACTCAAAAGCAAAGAGCCAGAGACTTGATCAATAAACGGTGTCGCGACAGTAAATGCTGCCCTAATAATGTTCCTGTTCATGCAAGTCAGTCACTAAAGAGGAAGAAGAGTAATAAGGAAACTACGAGCAGCTGCAACACTTCGACATGCGCCAGTAGAGCCAATAGTCGGACTTGCTTTCCTGAGCAAAAGCCTAAAACGGTTCAAGCTGCAGTAAGTCAAGGACAGCGAGACCCCCTACATGGGGACACCTCAACCTGCAGACAATTTGACATAGGGACACTTATTTTCCCATAAAAAATTAGCAAAAAAGGTCTGACGTGAGGACACTGACTCAACATAGGGACATTTTTTGATAAAACTGCAAATACATTTCAGGCAAAATTAAAAGAAACAGATACAGTATTTCCAACCCTAAAATTGATGTAAGAGAAGTTCTTGGGCATTTCCCTCACCAATTTACCATCCATTTAGCTGATTTAAAAAATTACCTTCAGCGTAGAGGAGCTTCCTTCTCTTTTTGACATGAATGTTATTTTTACAGAGAATGCCAACATTTCTGTGTACTCTGCAGAGGCACAGTACATTACATAATTAAAAATTATATAATGTGAGACTAAGGGAAAATGAGACTTGACTTATGGACATTTTTTCTTAGGGACACTCTTGATGCACCAATTACATCTGCATCTTGGGGTCTCACTGTAAATTAGTGTTTACTCAGCATAGTTTTCATAGTTTAACCTTGATCTGCCCAACTATGAAAAATAAAATAAAAACTGCCTGTGTATGCTNATGGGGATTTGCTGGTTCTCAGGCCCAAACAGGTTGGGGAACACTGTTCTAAACAATTATAAATGTCATTCTGAATTTCAAGACCACTTCTGTTCTTTCAAAGGTTAGCATGCACTGCTGATCCTTAGCGAAAAGAACTCTGCTCTATGATCAGTGAGATTTCTGCCCAGTGAGGAAGATGAAATTCTCTGTTCATCAGCTTACTTCCAAGTTCCAACGAACTGTTTTTTCTTCTTTAACCTAACTCTCTTTCAATGGTTTTTCATTCTTTGTGAAATTCTGTTTCCCTAACCTTGACTGAACTTGTCTACTTTCGCTCAATCCTGGTCCTCTTGAGTGACTGGAAGCGCAAGTCAAGGCTCAGGTTTTAAATTTTTGGCAGGAATGGCCAATCGCAATGATGTGTAAGTAATTTTCGAGATTTGTTTCTTCCTTCTTTAAAAATAGCAGCATCAGTGCTTCATGATCTCTTGTGCATTGATAAATGAGTCAAAGGTCCATGCAGTGTCTTTTTCATGCTGACAAATTAAACAGGAGCTGTATTTTGAATCCGAAAAATGCAGTTGCCCCATTCATATGATTTAGTATCAAATATCACCTCTTATTGTGTGAATGATTATCATGGTAGTATTAAATGTATGAAAGCTAACTTGACAAGTTCGTGTTCTTTAATGCTTTTTGAATGAAATTTATTTCGCACACTCGCTATATTGGAAATTTGAATATTTCGTTTCTGGCCCTGAAATAAAGAAAAAATGCATGTGCACCCACGAAAGCTAGAATAATGATTTTTTTAATGATGATGCCATAGTTTGGCAGTAATGAAAGATAGTTAGTTTATTAAGGTCAACGTTAATCAAAAAGAAGAGCTCAATTAAAAAAAAATGAAACACTTCCCGTTTCAACCAATTTAATTTATGCTTACTTAAGTTATACCAATAATTATTTGAGTTGTATCGTAAGTTTCGTAACTCATGGGGATTTTCAATTTTTTGCTCCTTAGAATTTTTATTGGTCAATTTCGACTTTTTGTCAGATGTCTTCAAAATGTATTCAGTGAATTATAGGGACCTAGCGAGACAGAGGATTTTAAAGTTTTTTTTCGCATGTGTCATTTCTCCTGTTGCACAATTCTATTGCAGCTTATAAGGTACAGTATTACCAAATTTTTTTTGGAATTGTATTTCGTACGATTTTCGAATTCGTATGTATTTTAACGGCCAAACACTCATCATTTTCTGGTCATTGTTGGACGTCTTCAGCATGTCCGTCCTATGTGCATAAGCTACACAATTTCGAAAATGATATTATTTTTATTTTAAAGTAAAATCTCGTTACAACGAAGTCCTTGAAACAAGTAAAGTAGCTTCGTTTCCAGCAGTAGCTTTCATTCAACGATGAAAAGCTTTTTTTAAAGTAACTTTTTGAACATATTGTGGCTTTTATAAGGAAGGGCGCAAAACACGACTTCGTTTTATGTGATTATTTGTTATAACGAGGCTTTTTTGTAGCAAAATTCTACTCTGCTACAGGTATACACTGTAGCCGCATTCCCTTTTTCCAAATACAGAAGAAGTTCACAAGAGCAAAATCAAGTAATTTTTTCGAGGAAATTCACCGCATTCGATTTAAAAAAAATTGTGTTTAATGGACGGAATTGAAAAAAAGGCAAATGCTAATTTTTCTCTTCATTTCTGGCACAGTGTGAGACGTCAAGTGCAGGTACCCGATTGGACGGTGATCAAGGCCGGCTCTGTGGCCTACCTGAACCACGTGAAGCAATGGGTTCGGGAGAACCCGGTACAAGCGTGTGCAGTGGCACTCAGTACCCTGGCCGTCGTGACCGCCGTTCGCAGGTCTTTCCGGAAACGATGCTGCAATCAAAAGCAAAGAGCCAGAGACTCGATCAATAAACGGTGTCGCGACAGTATATGCTGCCCTAATAATGTTCCTGTTCATGCAAGTCAGTCACTGAAGAGGAAGACGAGTAATAAGGAAACTACGAGCAGCTGCAACACTTCGACATGTGCCAGTAGAGCCAACAGTCGGACTTGCTTTCCTGAGCAAAAGCCTAAAACGGTTCAAGCTGCAGTAAGTCGAGGACAGCGAGACCCCCTACATGGGGACACCTCAACCTGCAGACAATTTGACATAGGGACACTTATTTTCCCATAAAAAATTAGCAAAAAAGGTCTGACGTGAGGACACTGACTCAACATAGGGACATTTTTTGATAAAACTGCAAATACATTTCAGGCAAAATTAAAAGAAACAGATACAGTATTTCCAACCCTAAAATTGATGTAAGAGAAGTTCTTGGGCATTTCCCTCACCAATTTACCATCCATTTAGCTGATTTAAAAAATTACCTTCAGCGTAGAGGAGCTTCCTTCTCTTTTTGACATGAATGTTATTTTTACAGAGAATGCCAACATTTCTGTGTACTCTGCAGAGGCACAGTACATTACATAATTAAAAATTATATAATGTGAGACTAAGGGAAAATGAGACTTGACTTATGGACATTTTTTCTTAGGGACACTCTTGATGCACCAATTACATCTGCATCTTGGGGTCTCACTGTAAATTAGTGTTTACTCAGCATAGTTTTCATAGTTTAACCTTGATCTGCCCAACTATGAAAAATAAAATAAAAACTGCCTGTGTATGCTTATACTGTACATTGACACATTTTTATCTAAGAGATCATGTACGTAAAGGGAACGAAAGACGCGATTTTTTTGTCTCTATTCTGCAGTCGCCTGCAAGAAATTTACCGTAAATCCTCCACCCTTTCTTTTGAGGTTTCAGACGCGACATCTATCCACCATTCTATAGAATCACATCCGCTCCTGTATAACCATGAACAAAATAGGGTCAAAACCGACTCTGACCATTCTTGTCCAATGCAGGACTGCCAAGTCTATAAAGTCTCTGAAGTTTCTGTGTACATGTGCTCATTGCTTATACTCGCTGTTGTTGAGAGAAGTTCATGCTGCTGTTTGTCTTTTAGAAAGACAAAATACATTCACAATTCTTTTATAGAACTTACCGTTGAGACTGGAAAAGGTTTGAATCACTTTTCAAAATGAAGATTACAGCAATCAGCTGGGCTATGGCCAGGGTGCTTGACCTTTTTAGTGTGAAGTTGGTGTATTTGACAAAAAGCAAAGATTTCAGAACAATTGATTGCAAACAAAAGTTTTGATGTCTTTTGCATGAGACTACCAAAAAGCAACTGATGATCAAACAGAAGGGAAATCAGCAGTTAAAAACCTTTCCTGGTGAAATTTTGGGTACTTTCCTGTTATCTCAGTACCTCATTCCTGGACCACACTACCATCCAGACAAATCTGTAGGATGAGTTCATAATCACAACAACCTACCAGAAACTGTGAATTGTATTTTTCTGCATTCTGCTGAAACTGATTTTGGGAGGCAGTTAGGTAAAGTTAGGTTAGGTCAGGTTATGTTACTTAAAAATATCTTTTAACCAACATAACCTTACCTAACCTAACTTTACCTAACTGCCTCCCAAAATCAGTTCCAGCAGAATGCAGAAAAATAAAATTCACAGTTTCTGGTAGGTCGTTGTGATTATGAACTCATCCTACAGATTTGTCTGGATGGCAGTGCAGTCTAGGAATGAGGTACAGAAATAACAGAAAAGTACCAAATTTTTTTATTCAGGTAACCCATATTTTTTTCAAAAGAAATTTGTTTCCACACAGAGACAAAAGATTGTCCTGAAGATGTTTCTGGGTGGTAGTGTGGTCTAGGAATGAGGTACTGAGATAACAGGAAAGTACCCAAAATTTTGGAAGGCGGTTAGGTGAAGTTAGGTTAGGTCAGGTTAAATTGGTCAGATGAAGGTACAGAGATAACAGGAAAGAAGGTACTGAGATAACAGGAAAGTAGGTACTGAGATAACAGGAAAGTAGGTACTGAGATAACAGGAAAGTAGGTACTGAGATAACAGGAAAGTAGGTACTGAGATAACAGGAAAGTAGGTACTGAGATAACAGGAAAGTAGGTACTGAGATAACAGGAAAGTACGTACTGAGATGACAGAAAAGTACCAAATTTTGTCCCTGTAGACTGAATTATCCCAGGGAACCTCAAGGATATAGGAAAACCCTCATGGAAACTTGAGGTCAAACTTCCCATGAAATTTGTGACTGATCAGATTTCTTTCAATGGTCTAACAATTCATCCTTCTTCAAAATTGCGTTTCAAAATGCAGACATTATATCTTATTCACCTTTTCTAATTTCCAACACTTACCAATGAGTCATTACTGATGTCCCTGGCAAAAGGAACTGAAATCTCCTCACACCCTGAAGTAGTCAGATTTAGACTAGAATACAATAGGACAGTAGCTTAATAGGAGACACCTTGCAATCCATTTATTTTTCAACATCAATATCAAAAGTCTGGTAACAACACCACATGCTGTTTTCAGGATAGCACTGTATAAAAATATTAAAAAAAGTTCCCTCAATATTGCAGACAAGTACTGGACAGATTCTCGTTCGACGTCCGGAAGAAAAAAATCTGTGCACAATGAAACCCTCTTCATTCAGGCCACCTTTTTACTATTGCGATCAACAACAACTGCAACAGTGCCACGAAGTGACAGCTTTGCAGGCCCTGGAAACAGGCTTGGCTCGACTTCGCGACAAACTCGCCACTTCCGGTCGCATCGTCAGTGAGCAACTCGACACCGCGGAAGAGAAGCAGGCCTTTGCCCTCTTGTCCACGCTTCTCGACACGCCGCAAGTTATTGAATGCCCCGCCGAAATCGCCAGAGTGTCGAGAAAATTCGTGACGGTGACGTCGCAAGAGGGTTGCTTGGATCCCTGGCTGGATTCGGGACTGACACCCGACGTCGGCGACTGTTTGTGGTCCAGGTGCGACTTGAATTCGACGACGACGACGACGATGCCTTCGTATTGCGTCGGACTGCGACAGGAATCGAATTTCGATGCCGGCTTTGCAATGTACAAGTAGGATCTCAATACAACGAACTCGTCTCTGAGTGGAAAAAAATTTATTTTGAAAAAACTATGGGTTACATGAATAAAATTTTTTTTTATCTGATTTCTAGATCAAAATAAGAGAACAAAAATAAATATAAGCTTTAATGCATGCGTCAACATACTCGGCAATTTTTTTTTAATCTCTCGGACCTACAATATATTTCTCTTGCAAAATCGGATGAAAAATGATTCACTGGGGCTACTAAATTTGCATATACTGTATTTTCTACACGAAAGTAGTTTAGTTCGTTCCTCTCAAAATATCTATTTTTTATTTATTAAAAACTGTTGGGCATGTATATGAGCATGTAAAGTATTTTCAAAAATTCTCGGACCGTCACATGTTGACAATTCGGAAATTTTTATGAATGCGTACAATATTTTTGAAGAGATATGTGACATTTTTAGTTTGCTATCGATTAAATTGTCTGTATTGGAAGTTTTTGAAGCATTTTTCATATGAATTGTGTACCTGTAATTTCGATTAAGCTTTGTTCGACAAAAAAGGATTTTCCTGCCTTTTTATAACGTAATTTTATTTTTTCAGTCCGACGAAGGACTCCAACCCATCGTGTAAAAAAAAAATAAATACCTGAGAAAATTTGTGATCTCTTTCGTAAATCAGAGAATGAAGCTTTGTAGTGGAGCATGCGTCAGCAAAAGTTTTATAGTTGCAAGACTTCCTTTGCAAAATCGTGTGAAAATTGGTCAACAACATTCAATAACCAATGAAGTGTAAGAAAATTTCTGTACACTAAAAAGCTGATTTTTTCCTTTCCGGAATTTGTAAAATAAAACAATTTTCGGTCATGAAAACGAGTGAGCAAATTAAAAATTTGTCTGACGATCACATTTTCACAATTTCGACATTCATCCGTACGAGTATAAGGAAACATTTTCAAAAGTATTTGCTCAAGTGAATTTTTTGTTTTTTAGTTTGTTGTCGAGGAAATTGATCACATTGAAATTTTTTGAAGCATTGTGTATGTATATCTCATGACTGGAATTTCCAAAAAATTTCTCTGAATTTTTTCTTCTCTGGCCCGTTTTATAACGAAATTTTACCCGTTTAGTCCGACAAAAAAGGACCTCAAACATTTGTATCATGATGAAGACTTTGTGCTGGGACCCAAAGGAGACTGTTCCAGGACCTCCACTAATAACTTTGAAAGCGCAAGTGGAGTCAACAGCGGATCTCGAAGTGCAGTTCTTATTCAGGTGAATGAGAACTGCGATACATTTCATCATCAGCGTTGTTTCAAACTGTTTTTTTTTTAAAATTAAATATCCTTGAAAAAATTAATTTCCTCGGAGAAGTTCGTCAAACAAATTGTAGCATTTGTTTTGGCGTCTTCATCTTGAATTAAAGACGTAGGGGACGCGTCTAATTGTTTGTTTCGTGTTGGACGTCGATCAAAATTCGATTGATTATCCGGTACCGTAATTTTGGTCAATAATTTTTAGAAACTGTGACGGAAAATTCGGCTTATTGGTTTGAAAGAAATTCTTGAAAATGATCATAACATGATTCTAACACTGCCCAGAATAGTTCCAGATTTCCAAACAAAATGATGAAAATTACGAAAGCGGAACGTGAACTGAGTGATGGTTTGCTCGAATGAAAGACTGATTTACGCGGTAAATGTTCGCATAAATTTTTTCGCTCTCAATGTAATTATCTCACATGATGATCGCCCATGAATTGATAAATGCTACATTTTGAATATTCATCAAACATTATGACTCATCATCCCAGAACTTCTCCGCTATTCACATTTGCCGGCATGTCTCATTTATGTACAATCCGCATTTGTTTGACTTTAATGATACAGTGAGACCCCCACATGTGGACACCTCAAAATGTGATGTAGGAACATTTATTTTCCAATGAAAAAAATCATTTAAAAAATGCCTGACCTATGAACACTGACTCAACATGAAGACATCGCATGATAAAATTGCCAATAAATTTTAGGAGAATTGACTTTTATTCGGCTTATTTACAAGAAACAGATATTTCCAACCCTAAAATCTATGCAAGAAAAATTCTTTGGTACTTTTCCCATCATTTTCCCTTCCATTCAGGTAATTAATAAAATTACATATAGCACATAAGGGACTTCCTTCTCTCTTTGTGACTTGGATGTTATTTTTACAGATACCAAGATTTCAATGAACTGTACAGCAGTATACTATTCAACGCTTCAAATGTTCTTATTAAGTTGAAAATATATTTGCTCAATCAAATTCAAGTGGCAAAATTTTTTTCTTCATGGAATTCTGAAGAATATTTCTTCCATAAAACCCCAATTGAAAATGGTAAATTTAAGTATGGGAAAACTAGACTTGACTCAGGGACAATTCAACTTAGGGACACTCTTTATGCACCAATTATGTCCACATCTGGGGGTCTCACTGTACTACATTTTCACAGAAATGAATTCATTTACACAGAACAGTACTGTATTTTGTGTGTTTGGGCTTCATTTTGAGGAGTATTCATTATTTTCAGCGCCCTTGTCATCAACTCCAACGTAAAACCGGCTGGAAAAGTCCCCAATGTCGCACATTCCACACCACCGAGTCAGACTCTTTTTTGGAAATGTGCAAAAATCCAGGGAATCGCCGGAAGGGCGTCAGCAGCATGAGCAAAACGGTTTTGCAGCACCCTCAGCGATCCAACAGCGAATCCTTCCGATCCACTGCCCCGGACTACCTTCGCTTTGGTTCTTTCGAGAGACCATTCGAAGCCCTTTGCAGAGCAGTCAACACCAAGAAACGACATTCCACTGTCTGGAGTTGCGATGACGAGATCGTCAGCAGCAGCAGCAGCACCAGTAATTGCATCACCGACGACGACGATGACGTGACACCCGTTTGCGAGTCCGGTTCTTTTCTCGGTCTCAACAATAATCATGACCGTGATGATATCCTAGCATTTCGAGACTATGAGTATGGTATGAAACGGGAAAATGACGTACCCCTTGGAGCTATCGTGTCGATCCCGAGAATCAAGTGTGCCCAGTACCAGCCGTCGAGAACTGGTTCGCTCTGTGTGTCCTCGGTGTCGTGCTCTGTGCAAGAATCGGTGGCGCAGCAGAGAAAAGGTGACAACGATGACGACACGTGCAGTTCGGTGGCGACCGATTTGGATGATGATGACGGTGGTGGTGCTGACGACCATGTGAGTTGAGAGAGAAACTTTGACGAAAGTAATTGTACAGTACAGTATATAGTGAATGAAAAAAAGGTACAGTTGAATCTCTTTATAATTCGAATTTGAAGGGACCAGCCAAAAGGTACAACTGTGGGGCAGGAGCCACCACAAAGAATAAAACGATATTCATAATCAGCAACAAACAATTAGAAATAAATAAAAACAAACAATCTGCCAGGGAACATGGCAGGGAAGCCTTTGGTAAGGCTTTTTAAGAACAAGAATTAAGTATATTTTGATACATAAGAAACACTGAACAAACAAATGATTAGCAGCTCAGCACGTGACAATTAAAGACTGAAGAGAAACTGCGTAGATTAATTAGGGAAAATGGATGACGTTGGAATTCCCGCTTGGGGAATTCCAACGTGGAGAAAATGGGTTGTATTGGGATGATGCCTCTGATGGTGACATCTATCCCTTGCAGCAACTTTGGGAAGGTTCCAGTCATAGAAGTGTGCTTTATGGAACCAGGCATTTTTATTGTCAGAATCATAAAAGAATTGCACAAAATTAAAAATGGTGATATTCTGGGCCTTTTATTGCATCTTGAATGAATTGACAGCTAGGATGGTGAACTTGGAGGCAGGGGTTCATTTGACCAATTTAAACTTTCACATGCCCTTCAAAACACATTGTAATTTTTTTGTACTTCTATCTTTCTTTTGTCAAGAACATGATTGCCATAAGGCCTAGAAAGATCTGAATTAGGTAGGCTTGAAAATGGAATAATTTGATTTGTGGAGGTTTTTAATGCCTTGATTCTAAAGGAATCCAGACAGAAAATTTTACTTGGGGAGGTTTGAGTTTATGATCAACTGTACTACAGTACTGCAGTTCCTCAAGTGCAGTGATATTCACCCAGAGTAAGATGCACACCACTGGGATTTTCCGTCAAAATTGTTAAATAAAATTCTGTCCCCAAGTAAGACATGCCCACTCCATTTTTACTGACTCTAAAACTGCAATTTTTCAACAAAAATAACTGAATTTGGATTTAGACCTGATTTTATCCTGAATTCAATTAATTTTTAATTAATGTATTTACATTACATGAAGGCTTTCTTTTGAAATTGGTTCAAAATTTCCCATTAGAATCAAATACTGTATAATGTCCACCTAAACTTCTAAAACTTTAAACGTATACCCATCTATGATGCGCACCTCCTGGTTACCTTCTAAATTGTAACCCTTGGGCGGCAAAGTCAGACTATTTTTGCAAATTTTGTTGCCCCTCAGGGCAGAAAATAAAAATGGACAACAGGGATTTGAGGACGAAGTCCAGGAGAAATCCAATGTTTTTTCTTTTTGTACAGAAACATTTTGTGGGAAAATGAAAACATGCTATATACTAAGCAATGGGCTTTTCTTGGATCAATCCCAACTTTGCTCAGCCCACCTGGAAGATCTTTTCTGACCTTCAGAAAACTTAAAATGCCCCAGCATACAAAAATAATCTGATTTTGGCCGGCAATGGGAAAGAACCCTTGGCCGTCCAAGGGTTAAGAAGAATGTGCATGTGGTGCTTGAGTAAATGCAGTGTTCCTTTGCTCAAATTTAAGTAATTTAAATTTTAAAGAGTTTTTATGCAGGTATATGCTTGCAAATGTGGACTTGGAAGAATGTCAGATATGTGAACCAATTCAGTGTTGATTTTAGAAAATAGAATTTTGAAGCTTGAAATTATTTGCAAGCCCACTGGAAGTCATCTGTATGTGTTCCTGTTGGATCTAGAGCAATTCAAGACAGACCAGTCCCAATACAATGCACTATTTAAGGTTGAGACAAATATTCCTGATGAGGCATATTAAGACATCAAGGACTATTTGTGGAGTAACAGCAGCATTTATAAAATGATTTTCCTAGGTTCAAGTCTCAGATCTTACAGTGAAGGTGGGAAAAGAAAAAAAAATTGCACTTCTTTTTCAAATTTTAGGCTAATTTTATGTTGCACTCAAAAAATTGGAATAATGTTGCAAAGCTTTGATTGGATGTGTGTGTGGGATGGGAGCACATGGGGCATCATGTTTTGAACCTTGTGAACCCAGACAAGCAGCAAATAAAGCACATTTATCAATCAATTGCATAATTCTCCTGTTCTCCTTGGCAGGTGGCAACTGGAAATAAATGGCAGATACGAACACAGAATGTTGCTCAAAACTCTGCATTCCATGGCGATGAAATGGCATCCAATTCCTCATCTCATTCAAATCATCAGATACTCCACTCAGTCAGCTCCAGCAGTGTGTCAGATCATCTCTGCCCTCATCCCACTGAAAACACTTCAACATCCAAAACAACATCTCACACAAGTCCAGACTTTGTGGCCAGTTATGGAGGTCCTCAGCAAGAAAAGCTAAGCTTTTGCTTGCCAGTCAGGGGACCACACCATCATCATCATGATCAGAACCATGACCAAAAAGTGTCCACTGATGAGAGTATCACATGGTTTGAGACTGAAGCAGTTCAGCCGTTTTGCAATGATCAAGAGCACAAAAGCCCCTTGAGTCTTATTATGCGCGGACTCGCGGCGCCGTTTGTTCCTCATCCCATTGTGGATCAGGATGAGGATGCAGAGGACTTGATTGACGTAATGCACACTTACTCTGATTGTCATGGTCAGCATTGGATGGGGAATGAAGATCCGCTGTGAGTTTTTGCCCTGCCGAGTGTGTATTTATTATTTTTTTACTTTCGGAAAAATTATGAAAATGTGGCGCAGAAGAGAATAACACTCCCTGTATATTCGAAGTGTTCTACTGAGAAGAAAAGAGTATTAGTATAGCGTAGTCCGTAGTGAACCATCAAAAATGGACTGACAAACACTCCAGTATAATATTCATGGAATTTTTGAAATCCGTCCGACACCATATTGTAATTTTGATACCAATCGAGTTCAATCAGTTGGTTTCAAACTTGACTGACTTATTTCTCAGTGTACAAGGCAACCAGGAAAAATCATCCCTCAGTAATAATAACAATGGCCGCTCGAACAAGGGCGACGTTATTGGCGCCCACACTCGTTGGGCGGCCGGTCAAGACGCCAGTCCGCTCCGTTTGTTCCTCATCCCATTGTGGATCAGGATGAGGATGCAGAGGACTTGATTGACGTAATGCACACTTACTCTGATTGTCATGGTCAGCATTGGATGGGGAATGAAGATCCGCTGTGAGTTTTTGTCCTGCCCAGGGTGTTTTTATTTTTTACTTTTGGAAAAAGTATGAAAATGTGGCGCAGAAGAGAACAATGTCGCGTCCCAAAGCAACACAGCTCCAGCATCCGGCTGCAACCGGACTAGAAAACTTGTTGCATTTCTGAGGCCAGTGAGCTTTGCAAAAATCCTGTTTTTGCAAGACTCACTGAGCCTCACCCAAGGACAAGAAGTGGTTATCACTTCTTTGATTTTACAAAAATCTGCCAATCCGGAGCCAGGAAGAAATCACCTGATTTCTTCTGACCCAGTCCAAGCACCTGGGTATAAAATCCCTCATTCCTCTTTGAGAGGAGAAGTCAGAACCTAGTGTTGAAGGGCCTTTTAACTTTAATTACCTCATTCAATATTCTGAGCTAGCCAACCAATCTTACAATTGACTCTGCCATTACAACCATTGAATCAACAGCCAATTGATTAACTGGGCAATGAGAATGAACTCCTCTGAAAAGAGTTTGAGTTCTTATTCAAAGCTTGCATTCTGACGGCTGCACAATTCAATTCCTTTGTCTGGGATCCAATTGACCCATGACATGGGAAGTGTTCTATACTGAGATTTAAGGAGTATTCATATATTGTGGTGACCCATCAAAAATGGACTGACAAACGCTCCAGTGTAAAATTCATGGAATTTTTGAAATCCATCCGACACCATATTTTAATATTGATCCCAATCGAGTTCAATCAAAGTCATATTAAAATTTTTTGGGTGAAAAAGGCATACAAAATAAAAATGAAATCTCATTACAAAAAACTCCCAGGGACCTGAGAACAAATTTGTTGCACAAGATTCACGTTTCATTTAGGATCTATATAGGCATGAATCATTATGTGGGAAGTAATAAATGCTTGCAACAAAGTACTTTTGCAACGGATATGTGAAGAATTGGCTAAATTAACCATTTGTTTTGATGAAATAATGGAGGGAATTGAAAATGTGAAAAAAACAGTACTCTTATTTCAGACCTTCTGAATTTCAAGCAGCAACGTAGTTTTTGAATTTTTTATAACTGTATCAGAATGACTTCATTCCTCCAAACATAAAATCAGCTAAATTCTCATCCCTCTGAAGGAAATAATACACTTGGAAATTTTTTTTTTGGAGTTCGGTGCTGTGGTCTCTGTAATTCATGTTTCATTCCAATATTCATTTAGCTTTCATCAGTGTAACAACTGAAATTTCTGACTTATAAGTAAACAGAATCGATTTTTTAAAATTTTTGAATCTTTGTAAGTCCTTAGAATGAATGAATGAATGTCCTTAGAAACAATGGGACTATACTCAAGATTGTTGGTTAGCCTCGTTGGAGTGTACAGTACAGTGGGACCCCGAGATGTGGACGTAACTCGTGCTTATATATAGACTATGTCGGAGCATCGTTTGTCGTATCATTCATTATAATAACTGTGCCAAAGAAAAGCACCCAAAATCTGATGTTTTGGCTCCAGAAGGAGTTCACAAAGCAAAGAACGAGGATAGATCTAGCTATACTTTGCACATATAATTTATAAAAAATTTTGAGACATCAAACTTAGCCACCTTTTCGTTATGAATTGAAGTAATTTATAAGGAAATTTATTTTTGAATTTTTGTGAATATAAATAGCCTAATTTGTTCAAATGCTAAAAAATTTTCCTTTACTTGTTTCCATGAATAATGTTGGAAAAATGTCCATATCTGAAGACTTTGTCCGGATGTCGGGGGCATTATTTCTTTCAAGTTTTAAATATCCCAAATTGGAATCGTTTGTAAGTTTGTTTCAAACTTGACTGTGAATTATTTCTCAGTGTACAAGGCAACCAGGAAAAATCATCCCTCAGTAATAATAACAATGGCCGCTCGAACAAGGGCGACGTTATTGGCGCCCACACTCGTTGGGCGGCCGGTCAAGACGCCAGTCCGCTGCCCACGATGAGCCCAGCAGTGATGGCGGCATCGGCGCCACTGCTGCTAACCAGCGACGATGACCCGACCCGCGGCGCCGCCCCGGCTGCACTGCGGTGTCTCCGGCGGGCGTGCAGCTGGCTCAAGGGCGCCCAATCCCGCCCGGACGTGGCGCCGCGCTTGCGAGGCCTGGGCGCCGCTTCCGCCGAAACCGTGGCGTCTTGTGCGTGGCACGTGCCGTTTGATGGCGCCGAGGCGCTCTTGGATGCTCTGCTCCGCTTTTTCATCGAGCCTGAGGAAGGGGATGCGACTGCGAGTGACGCCGAATGGCTGACGACGTTCGGGTGGAAAGGCAGAGGTTTTAAAACTTGCAGTCGCTGTTGTTTTCAGTCCTTTGACTCGGGAGAATTGCTGATACCAATGCTTAGAGTGAGCGCTTGGAGCCGCGAAGGGTAGGTTTTTGTTGTTGTTTGTTTTGTTTTTGTCATGTCCTCATTTGGTAGATTTTTGAGTGGCAAAGTCTGGAAATATTTTGAGAATTTGTTCGCTGCCCAAGAAAAAAAAAATCGGCTCAGTGTTTAGTGGAGGGCAAAGCTGTTGGAAATTATGAGGTTGAGGGCAAAAGTAGCAGGAGAAAAAACTAGCAAAAAAATCACACACACTGCCTTGAAGTTAACTGCGTAACTTCAGCTTTCAGGTTCTCCTCAGTTATTGCTTCAAGCATTCCATCGCAAATGTGGTGTCTCAAACTAGTCAGTCAAAAAACATACTTCACCAACCCAGGATTGGTGTCATTATCCTTTGAAAAAATTACTTAATGTAAATGCCTTAAGCCAAAAAGAAAAGCAAAGCGTGAATAAAATAAAAAACAAGTATTTTACTAAATATTGATTATATGTACAGTATTAAATGTACAGCACTGAGATTAACAGAAAGAGCTCCCATGGCCTCATTATTTCGGCAGATATCTTACAGAATCTATTAGTTTGTTAGAAATCTTCCTGAACCTTCTGATTTTTTTCTCTCAAAGAAAATGAGTTTGACAATGCTCGCCATAAAATGTGCAGATTGTGTTCGGGTTTTCCCCCCAGGAAAATACACGTGTCTATCAACTGATGTTCATAGTTTTGCAATGAATGAAAACTTCTTCAAATTTAGAGGGCTTCATGAAAAAAAAATTCGAACAACGGGATGAATACAGAAATTTGCGCTAATAAGCGTCATGGGTTTGCTCAATCCAGCACGCATCTTATTCCCCAAGGAGACAATTTGCTCACGAGATAATAAATTCATTGTTAAAAAATAATAAACTCCATATGGCCTCTATATATATATATACAGGTTCGCGCAAAAAACCTTTGGTTTGGAGGAATGGGTGGCGTCGCGGTTTTTGCAAAGTGGGCTAACTTACAAGTGCCCGAGACGCCGCGGGCGGTTTTGCCGGACGCCGCACGAATGGCGCCTCGTGTTCAAGGCAGAGCGGGCGCCAACAGTGGCGGTGCTGTCGGTGGTCAAAGACCGAGCATCCGTCTTCCGCATCCCGGCTGAATTTTTCGCACCGGAAGTTGTTGGGTTCAGGTCCCCGAGACGGGTGCACTACTCACTTCTGGCACTCATGTTCGAGCACTATCAGGTAAGAAAATAGCACGAATGAAAATTCGAAATGTATTATTTTCTCCTGTCATTGATCAATGCATGAATCAATGTCATGGATCTGTATATTTAGAGCCAAGTACTGGAGTATCTCAATTGATCAATACTGTATCTAAAGATCAATGGGAAGGCGAAATCAGGGTTTCAACTCACATTCAGGGAAATGTTTTTGAAACGTACGCCATATTTCACTCATCAATGCAATCAATAATACATTAATCTCCAGTTCAGTGATCTCCGTATATCGAAGGAATCACCCAAGGAAAACCCCCTGTATCGATAAATCGAAATGGGGAACAATAAGTGACTTGCAAAATTAAAAATTTCTCAAAACGAATCTTGATGGCGATGAAACACAGCCACACCTGGCCATAATGTTTAGAATTCAACAAAGAATTAAAAAAATTAATGATTAGAGCTAATCAAATGCAAAATATCTGACTTGACCAAAAAAAAAATGCACACAAAGGTTAAAGAAACTGTCTCCAACCCCTCTCTAAAACTTACCCCTATACAGTATTTTGGATTCAAACTCATAGTTGAAGATTGGGTTTGGCTGGAGGCCCCCCTTTGAAAATGGCCTTGCTGCAAATAGATACCCTAAATGCTAGTCCATTTTTTATTTATTTGAAAGCTCATATTAATTGGAGTCCAGCAGAGTTGCAGGAAAACATTGTTTCAGTTGGATAGAAGCCCATCCATTTGCCAGTTGCCTTGCAGTGTATTAAGTGATTTTGAAATTTTTTCGCATCTACTTAGAAAGAACAACCGAAAACAATTTTATTGGCCTTGAAATCTCACTTCACAGGAAAATATCATGGTTTTGTTTCTTTATATTCTCATCTTTGAAATTTATGAAGTTCAGAGCACATGCTAGCCAGGACTAGTGAAATTTAATGTGAACCAATTTGAAATTCTCAGTTTTATGCTGAAGAGCATTAGGAAGCTATAACGGTTTTCAAGGTTTACAAGAGTCTTTCGGCGAATGTCTGAAAAAAGTCAGCAGCTTATATTGTAACCTGTTGAAAATTTTGTTTCGCGGCATAATAATTTGGTATTCTGAAATGAACCCAGGAACGGATGAGCTCTTTCATGTGGTGAGCCTCACCATAAAATGCAGAACTCATCATAGAATTATTCACATACAGCCGAAGTTTGCTTGATAAAAGTTTTCATGAAAAAGACTGCCTGGAAAACGTCCTGGAGAGCACAAGGTATTTCTTTCAGGTCAGAAATCTTTCATTTTGTGAGCCACTTCTGCCTGCTGTGCAGCAAACTTGACTTGAAGAGCAAACCTCAAATTCAGGAATAAATTGATAAAAATCAGTGTCAAATTCATAGAAAAGTTATAAAACATGAAGTTTTGTAACCTTTAAATGTGAAAGTTTTTCTTGGAATGGTGCTGTTCAGAAAAGCGCTATATTTTGGTAAATTCAAATTTCCCTGCACTTCAAGTTTACTTGCTACAGCAATCATTTAAAAAACACAGCCCTGAGGAATAAATACGCCACCAGGATGGAATGATTGGTATTCTCAATATTCCAGCTGCTAAAACTAAATACAGTGGTACCTTGCACTACAAATGTAATCCATTCCAGGGCTACATTTGTAGTGTGAAACGTTCTTCATGCAAAACATGATTTCCCGTAGACTTGTATGGGAAATCATTTAATCCGTTCCAGAAAATTTGAAAAATTCGAATTTAAAAAAAAGGGGGAAAAATAGTATTGTGTCTTCAACAGAAGTTTTATACAGTGACATGATTAAAAGGATAAATTTAGGCTTTAATTTAAATTTTAAGGAGGGTAAATTGCAGGTTTAAAAAATTTTTTCAAGGGGGTTATCCTAACAGCAACATTTTTTGAAAATGGATTTTGCCTTGAGCACAACCCCTGCAACTCTAATTTTATTCTTGAGGTTTGAAAAACAAATCCAAAGGTTGAAATGATCAATGCACACATTTTTCAACATTGCATCTAGGAGGGTCATGCTCAAAGAAGAATTTTTCTGAAAAGTTGTCTGCTTTGAGCATAGCCCTCTTAAAAACAATAAATTTTAAACAACATCTAAGGGGTTAGGCTGATTTGGAAGTCATTTTTGACCCTGCAATGCACACTCTGAGAAATTGAATTGAAACATCATTTTTGCAAATTTTTTGGGGGAAATCCAGATGAAACTCAAATTTCAAAGACAATTTTCATCTCAATCTTTTTAGGAAATCTGAATTGCAGGCTTTAAAAATTATTCTGAGACAGTTATGATCACATAGACATTTTTAAAAAGGGGGCTTTGAGCATAACCCTAAAATCTGAGAGGTTATGCTCAAAGCCCCCTTTTTAAAAATGTCTATGTGATCATAACTGTCTCAGAATAATTTTTAAAGCCTTCAATTCAGATTTCCTAAATAGATTGAGATGAAAATTGTCTTTGAAATTTGACTTTCATCTGGATTTCCCCCCAGAATTTGCAAAAGTGATGCTCCTAGTCAATTTCTCAGGAAGTGTGCATTGCAGGGTCAAAATGGCTTCCAAATGAGCCTGAACCCTTAGATTTTTTCCACCATTTATTTTTTCTAAGAGGTCTATGCTCAAAGCAAACAACTTTTCAGAAAAATTCTTCTTTGAGCATAACCCCCTAGATGCAATGTCAAAAAATGTGTGCATTTATCATTTCAACCTTTGGATTTGTGCTTCAAACCTCAAGATTAAAATTAGAATTGCAGTGGTTGTGCTCAAAGCCAAATCCAGTTGCAGAGAATTTTTGCTGTTAGCATAACCCCCTTGAAAACATTTTTGAAACCTGCAATCAACCCTCCTTAAAATTTAAATTAAAGCCTCAATTTATCCTTTTAATCATGCCACTGTACGAGGGTTCTAACAAAATTTCTCGGAGTCAACCACAAGCCATTGCCGGAGGTGGATGAACATTTTTTTATTCGATTCCTCATCCTTTTTTCATCTAGGTCCAATTTTTTTGTCATCCCTAGACAAAAATGGAAACTGGGAAAAAAAATTGAATGAGTTTTTTCTGGTGATGTACCCACCCATTCTAACAGAAGTTCTTGGAATCAACCACAAACCGTCACCGGAGATGGACGTGGATTTTTTTATAGGATTCCTCATCCTTTTCTGGCCTAGAATTGTTTTTTTTTCATCCCCAGACAAAAATGGAGAGGCAAAATAAAAACTTGAATGAGTGGTATCCGATGAAGTGCCCACCCATGACCAAAGAGCAGTTGCGCACATGCATGCTCCTGCACACACTGCTTTGAAAACTCTTGATTTCATTTCAAATTTGGGCATCCAGCTTTTTACTCTTCCTTCTTACTCCCCTGATCTACTTGCTCCCTGAGATTTTTGGTTGTTTCCTATGAAGTGCCCACCCATGACCAAAGAGCAGTTGCGCACATGCATGCTCCTGCACACACTGCTTTGAAAACTCTTGATTTCATTTCAAATTTGGGCATCCAGCTTTTTACTCTTCCTTCTTACTCCCCTGATCTTGCTCCCTGAGATTTTTGGTTGTTTCCAACTGTGAAAGAAGGGCTTCAAGGGAAAGTGTTTTTTGTCAATAAGAAAAATCAAATTTGGGCATCCAGCTTTTTACTCTTCCTTCTTACTCCCCTGATCTTGCTCCCTGAGATTTTTGGTTGTTTCCAACTGTGAAAGAAGGGCTTCAAGGGAAAGTGTTTTTTGTCAATAAGAAAAATTTTTTGACCCAAAAGTTTTTTTTCATTTTCATTCCAAGAACTTCTGTTGGAATGGATGGGCACAGCACCAGAAAAAACTCATTCAATTTTTTTCCCAGTTTCCATTTTTTGTCTAGGGATGAAAAAAAATTGGTTCTAGCTTAAAAAAGGATGAGGAATCCAATAAAAAAATGTTCATCCATCTCCAGTGATGGCTTGTGGTTGACTCCAAGAACTTTTGTTAGAACCCTCGAATATAATATGCATGATTGAAGGGGGTTCTGTTGGAAAACAAACAATATTGATAGAATAATTATTTTCTTCCATTCTACCAAGTTTTTTGTCACCATTATATTGTGTTATTCTTTGTTATTGTATCCTTTTATTTCATGACATTTCATTCTCGTATCTTCATTTGTGGTTATTTGTCATGTTTTTTTTGGCATTCTTCAAAGTAGTTTGAAATTTTATTATGCAGACAAAGATATTTAATCATTGCTCCAAATAGTTGTCAACATGCTGAAGTTCTTTCATGTGAGTTGAAAAATATTGATAATAAAATAAATTCTTTGGAAGTTGTTAGGAACCATTCAAGAAAAGCAAGCTTGAAGATGTCCCTGAAGCTTTTGAACTTCAACTAGCAGCAGGGAAATCTTTATAATTTTTTTGGTTTGAAGGCTATATAGATTATGATCATAGAGATTTTCAGCTTTAAAAATAACTTCAGAATTGTTTGGATGAATATAAAAAATGCATGCACATCAATTTGGTGACATTCTAGCATCACAAATGTATCAGAAGAAATGTTTGCACTCACATTCAGCTCACAATAATACCATTTTGTAAAAAGAATGCAAAAACTAGTTTTTATCATGCATATGTGGAGGGCTTTTCTTTTTGCAGTAAAAGAAGATGATACCAGCCATGATGAAGCTGCATTTGTGGATCAACTTTATATTTCAAGTATTTAAAAAAATTTTGAATTGAAAACTGAAAGAAATTCCCCAGGCCATCTAAATGAAGACCTTGTGCTTTAAATAAACTTTTATTGCTACTTTGTTTTTAATGTCAGGAAATGGGAGGGTGTATGCATACATGTCAGATGTCCAGTTTTATATTGTGGAGTGTGTTCTCTTTTATTTTTGTCATTAATATGTGCTTTGTTTCCTGCTTTGAAGTGATTGAATGTCTTTGAGGGGATTTGGGTTGTGTGGCGGGAGGGGTTTGGATGCGGGAGTCTTGGTTGTGCCTTGTGAAGGCTGAATAGGTTGCACGGTGTCCACTCTCCATATGTCCCCGTCCTTATACTGTAATAATATAATGCATGAACGTATGCCTTGATTGATTTCGGTTCTCATCATCTGGTCTTCGAAATTCACTGATCGAAAATAATCATCGCTTGAATAATCTCCCCTATGAAAAAAGGGAACAAGCGACGACTGCGTGGCAGTGTCGTGCATCCGCGACGGCACCGGCGACGGCTCCAGTTGGACATGTCGATGCGCCGACAAGTCGTGGACGGCGGTGAATCCCGACGGCTGCTGGCTGGCGACGCCGCCCATTTCCCGCGTCATCTTGTTCTACGGCTCCGAACCTCGGACCAAGGACATGTTCCAGCTTAAGATGAGCTCCAGGTCCTGGACTTCCTCAGGGTACTATACATTAGCACATAAACGTATATATTAGTAAGTAAGTAGTTGGGCGCTTTGTGAAAAAGGGATTAGCGGCTCCTCTAAATTTAAATTCTTCTTTTTCGATTTTTTTCTGAAATAACCGGCCGTCAACTTCTTTCTCTGAATTTTTGCGAAATAAAATGCGAAGAACCGTTTGATGGCTGCTGTTTTTCTGATCCGCAGAAAATACTTTACGATGTACTTTTATGTACGCAGGGTATATTTTACTCAAGTATATTAGCATGTACCCTTGAGTAAGACGCGCACCCAGGTTTATCAGTCTAAAATTTTGATTAAATTTTATCCCTGTGTATTAGACGCACTCCACTTTTACAGACTCATCTAAAACTGAAATATTTCAAAAATTCAAATACCATAAATTGAATCTAGGCATGAATTGAACCTGAATTCAATTAAATTTTAATAATTTCCATAAAGGATTCATTGATGAAGTTGGTCCAGTTTTCCCATTAGAATCAAGTATTCAATGAAGCAAACCTTTCTGAAATTTTAAAGGATCAAGATAAACAGTTGGCCTTATGTGATTTCTCATCAGAGATTCTCTCTAATTTGTTCATTCAACTAAACCTCATACTGAAACAAGCTGAAGACCTTGTGCTTTGAATTAATTTTTACATATATTTTGTTTTCAATGTCAGGGAATGAATGGGTGNATTTGTGCTCTGTTTCCTGCTCTGAAGTGATTAAGTGTCATTGAGTAGATTTGGGTTGGGTGGGAAGGGGGTTTGGTCATGGATATCTTGATTGAACCTTGCAAATGCTGAAAAGTGGCAAATAAAGTGTTCTGTTCATTCATTCATTCATCAAGTATGATGCACAATCTATGCTTTTATACTTGCATGTGCTGATTATCATTGCCTTTTTTCCTCATTTGAATTCAAAATGGCAAATTTGCTGACATTTCAAGAAAACTGTTATTCTTACACTGCACCTCACATTCTTACGTTTGTTTCTCCGTTTTCCGCGATTTTTCGAAGAATTCTAAATTTTTTTTCACGGTCATCTAACTTTGAGCCTTTTTCGGCAGAAAAAGGGTGAAATGATAATTGAAACAATGCGTAATGCAGGGTTGCAATAAAAAATTTGTCCTGAGAATAACTTTCTTCCCCCTAAAAAAATCTTCATGCTATATTTCCGATGTACTCGTCTTCGCTGAATCGGGGACCCACCATTTCAGAAAAAAATTTTGAAGATCAGAATATGCTTTCTTGACAGACGCAATTTTCTCGAATATTCAGTTTCTGTTCGGTTTCTACGGTTTTCAGCAGTGCAATGGCCGACCAGTTTGTACAGATATATTTTATCGATGTTGACAAGAGGCACATAAAAATGTGAAAACCAGGGCTTAAAGGGGCTGGACTGAAAAGTCCTTCGTGACATGCAACTGCTGGTCCCCATGCCAACCGTCAGGAATTCCTTGCTAAAACTTGGACAACCTAACCAGTCATGCCAAAAAGAAAGGGACTGATGCCCGGTGATGGGAGAGTGTTCTTATTTAAGGCTGTTTCCCACTGCATTTCTTTTCTAAATATATTGTTCGAATAAATAACCAGGCTGTGAAATTTGTAAAAACCAAACATTTATTGATGATCATTCTTTCTGTGACCGCGAAGAGATTTTTAAAAATTTTTGGCAAAGGGCTTAGTGATCAAGATTTCCTATTCGTTTTTCAACTTTTCCACTCAGCAGTAACTAAAGTGGAACCACTCTTGCTAATTGTATTTAAAATTCCTAAGAGGTGTGTTTTTTATTACAAATTTTAATCGTACCGAATTGATTTTTGGGAGATCCTATATGACCTTCGTGAGGTAAGTCTTGGCTTTTATTTTAAGCATGAACCAATTCATTTTGTATAAAAATTGGAAAGTTGTTGTCGAACAAAAAACATTGAAGAGCTTTGAATTCTTGCCCTTGAGAATTCAAGTGTGAATTCTTTTGGAATCTCTCTAATTTTCGTTTTTCATGTTTTTCATGTTTCGTTCATCATGTTTATTTGTGTTCCGCGCGCATCTTAATCCTGAAACTATTTCAGGGGAAATGAAAAAAAATGTAGTCCAGCTTAATTTTTTCGAGACGAAAAATAAGAATACGATCAGTCAAAATTCGAAAAAAATATAATGCCATTGCCACATTTTCTGTGAGAAATTGCGATATTTATTGTGTGAACTGGGCTTGAATTGAATGAGGATCAGCCTGCGCAGGAAACGATTTCCTTATCCACAAAGCATAAGCTCATACCTTCTCTTTGTTTTGGAACTCAGTTCCTTTTCTGATGCAGGTTAAAATAAAACTAAAATTCTGCGTCAAACTTTGCGATTATTTCTAATTCACATTTTTTCTCTCGCTGTGATAAGCTGAAATGGTTGCTCAAAATTCAGCGAGATTCCTGGTCCGTCTGATGGCCAGACGACGTCGGACGTTTTTAATCATCATTCCTGTGAATATTCTCATCGTCTGGGTTCTTTATAATGGCTGGGCAGTCGGTGATCGGTCAATCATTCGCTGGAGTTTTCTGATGGACAGAACCTTTTTTCGAAACAGTGAGTTCGAATTATCTTATGAAGTTCAGATCGCTAATATATGACGATCTTCCGCAAAAAATGAATTTAGGCATCCCAGGATTTGTCACTTCGCGCAAGCACGACAAGCCCACGGGTGAGTTTCCTTTTTAAATGTTGAATACTTGGTTATTAATTATAATCACAGCTTCAAAATGTTCCCACATCCTCGTATACTAGTTTATAACAACAATGTGGGGATTAAAAAGGAAAGTTCTGATTTTCTATACTGTATAAGCATATTTAAAACCGATAATTGCTGATTTTTACATTGAGATAAAATATCTGTGCTAACTATTTCGTCGTTATTTTATTATCGTGGTGTCAATGAACCAAAAATTAATTTGGCGCGAAGCTAAAGACAATTGTTAAGAAAATTTGTGTTTTTAAATCTTGATGTATCCGGAATGAAGTTGAGAAAAATTAGAACGATCCATATTAAAATTTAAGCACAGAGAAAATTCCCTCAAGGGTAGGTTCCTTTTTTTTAATTCAGTGAAAATGTGATGAATATATACCATAGCATCAAATTTAACATTAAAACGCTTGAAGTCATTTCGAAAATGAGATTATCCAATTTTTATTGTTGCATCACATGAAATTCAAGTCCCGTGCCATTTTATTTTTTAATTTCGACAGATTGAAGTCGGAACGATATTTCTGTAGGCTGTCGCATATAAGATATTTGAAAAAAAAAATTTCTATTGGAATCAGAAGCCTAATCAAATTTTCATTGTGCAAAAAACATGATTGAATCTTGGTTGTTTCTAATATATATAGGAACTGTGCTGGCGATTTTGCCTTCCGTCAACGCAGAAATTCCTTTCAACGCCGAATACATTTTGCACGACGTTTTGGGCCATACTATCCATCAATGTACCCATTCTCTCACTCTTCCGCCAAAGGACTGCCAAATGGCCACTGGTAAATGTTGGGATCATCTTCTGCTGTGGCCCGGGGACTTCAAATTGGCAAACTCTATTCCAAACTGGGGGCTGCACAAATGCCCGAATGCTTCAGTTTCGTCGTTCCCTGAACTCAAAGAAACCCTTCTTTCGAGGCCAATTTTAAAACAGCTGCGGCAAGCCAACGGGGTTCTCAAGTCCTTCCATTTTCCAAATGAAACCGAAGAAGCCGAGTTCCATTTTGCGGGAAAATTCTTGACCATTTTCAAATCAACTGGTCAAAGTAAGGAACGTCCAAAGTTGATGGAGAGGGTCGTTAACGGGAAACCATGGAGAGACACTTGGGAAACGGCTTCCGGGGTAAGTTGGGAAATACGAGGGTCTTGACAAAATTTTGTGCAATCATGCAAAAGATGTCATGCAATTGAACTGACAAAAATTTATTCTTTAGGGAAAACATATTCTTTGGCCCAAAAAAATAATCAGTCCTGTTTGAAAATTTGTCTCAATGAATGAATGAATGAACAGAACACTTTATTCGCCACTTTTCAGCATTCACAAGGTTCAATCAAGATTTCCACAACCAAACCCGCTTCCCACCCAACCCAAATTCACTCAATGACATTTTAATCACTTCAGAGCAGGAAAGCACAAATTGACAAAAAATAAAAGAAAATACAATACAACATGAAAATATACCTGGACATCTGACATGTATGCATACACCAATTCATTCCCTGACATTGGTAACAAAATGTATGTAAAAATTAATTTAAAGCCCAAGATCTTCAGCTTGCTTCTGTATGAGNTTCACAAGGATCAATCAAGATTTCCACAACCAAAACCCCTTCCCACTCAACCCAAATCCACTCAATGACGTTTAATCACTTCAGAGCAGGAAACAGAGCACAAATTGGAAATAAAAATTAAAGAAAATATAATCCATGAAAAACAACTGATGGACATCTGACATGTATGCATACACCCATTCATTCCCTGACATTGGAAACAAAATATATGTAAAAATTAATTTAAAGCACCCGGTTTTCAGCTTGTTTCACTATATGAGGTTCAGTTGAATGAAAAAATGAGAGAGAATCTTTGATGAGAAATCACTTAAGGCCAACAGTTTTTCTTGATCCTTTAAGATTTCTGAAAGGGTCTCTTCATTGAATTCCAATACTTGTAAATCTTTCTTAAGCTTGTTTCTATCAGTATGAAATGCTGGACATAAGAAGAGAAGGTGCTTTAGTGATGCACAAACTAATGTATTTATGCTGCAGGAGTTACACCACTTAGACACTTTTGAAAATGGGATGGCTTTTTTACTAAAGTGCCATGCATTTGTCAAAATAGCTACAGTGTCATATATTAAAGGGAATTTTGAAAAACATTGGAACAAATTGTCAAACAGGACTGTTCTTTTTGGGGCCAAAGAAAATGTTTTCCCTAAAGAATAAATTTTTTCAGCTCAATTGTATGACATCTTTTGCATGATTGCACAAACTTTTGTCAAGACCCTCGTATATGTGTAACAACAAGGTTTCAGATACGAATCTTAGTATTGGTGCATTCAACGCATTCTTTCTGCCATCAGGCAGCAAAACGGGTAACAATCGATTAGGTAGAACATTGCAGTTTGCCTTGTCATGTTCTCCTGCCAAAAAATTAATAAATCACCAGCCTGGCGAAACAAATGTTTCGAGTGCGGGGGTGCAAAGTACAGAGGAAAATTGCTTATGACGAATAAAACAAGTAATCAATAATTGTTTGTTGCTGATCTTTGCAACAAAAGTCAGCCTAAATATACGAGGGTTGGTTCATGAGGTTATTGAGACTTTTTCAAATAGGTCCAACGGAGTTTCATCAATTTAAAGCATTTTTTTAATCGCATAACCACCGTCATTTGGCAACACTTGACTGCTGTTCAACATAATCTCTGACAATTTCAATGCATATTTTCATGTGATATTTGGATGAAATCTCTTACATGCATAGCTATCCTTCGTTTATGGTTTCGAACGATGTATTTACACATTTTTCGAAGATTTGGCAAAGATTCAACTCATTACACGCAAATTTCACTTCGTTCAACCAAATTGAAATCTCCGGGATGGGTAATCAAAAATAAAACAAAAACTGATCTGTGGATCAAAGATTCTTACCAAGTAAAATAGAAATATGCAACAATCGAATGCATTTTCAAAAAATATCATCGGCTTCTTAAATTTTTTTCAACCCTGTCTGAGCCTGGAGTTCGAGTAAAGATGAACTTGAAGAAATATTACTGGTGTATTTTTCATTTTTAAATTTCATGCTCCTCATTTTGGCACATTTTCCATCAGAAATTCAGAACAATCATCTTTCATTGCTGATTTGGAGATTTAATTACGTGCATATTATTTCAATGCCTATACTAAATCAGGTTCCAGTAATGTTTTTGCTAATTATTAGAATTTAACATTTTCATTTTCAGAATTCAACCGGGGTCGTGCAAGAATTCCTCCAAAACCCGTTGCTTTTTCACGGAAGACTCTTCCAAATAGGGGTTTTTGTGGCAGTTATTTCTATTAGCGAATTTCTTGGTGGATATTTTGGGTGATGTTCATTTGATGGACGTGCGGGCAGCTGAGCCCTTCGCCAAAAATGAGAAATTGGCCACTTTGCATGAATTTTATCAACTCATTGGAATGGACAAGTATTCCTGTCCGAGTGACTTCAGGGATCAGTTGGAGGCTTTTTGTCCACCGGAATGCCGGCAAAATTTTGGTGAGTCGAAAACTTTTTTCTGCAATCCTAAAGCAGCGAAAGAGCGCTCCAGCAAACAAAGCGGCGCGTTATATTTGTCGCTCAAGTTATTCTATCTCAAGAAGGTGTCGCTCCTATGAAAACATCCTCCGGGATAATCGGGAATAACGTACCGTTAGTTCAAAAAATCAGACATGTGGGAATAAAAAATTGACTACAAAACATCTGTTGATTTTCTTATGTAAAATACGACGGGAATTTGTTGGAAGATTGTTAATCAACTTCTACTTATTCAATGTATACAGTCTAATTGTTTTATCGAAAAATTTACTCCAGCACATATGGAAGTCGTGCCATAATCAAGCAGATTTATTGTAGTTATCGACTAACTTTTGACTAAATATTTACTCTCTGTTATCTGATGTTCGCGAAGTGTAAAATAATGGCGACAGATTACAGCACTTCACTTTGAATATGCCCGATTTTTGAAAGATGAATTTTTTGTTGTTGCTATAGTTCGCAACAAAGAAACAACGATTAATGTCCGATGCTAACTAATACGAAAAAGCTTGAATCATTTTGAAGAAATGAACTTTTATGCAGTTCTAGATCAACGCGCAGTTTTGAGTGAACTTTTGTATGCCATCGAGGATTAGATCAATCCTATTGCAATATTTAGCTCATTTCAGAACCAAATCGTCATGGCGATGGATGGGCAATCATTTCAAAATATTATCTGGAGTTTAAAATGTATCGCGTCAGCTTGGATCCAAATCCGAATAATACAATAAGTATATCCGATCAAAACTCGCATTCATATAAATGCAGGCTCCATTCAGCCTTTAAATTAATACTGAGCTGACCAGATAAATCTCTTGATTTATATTCAGAATATTTAAAATAAACTCTAAATTCTGTATACAAATGTTCCAGAATGGTGCAGCAGAGTGAAATGCAAAAACACTTGCTACCAATGCTTGAGTCCAACTCAAAAACTTCATGCCTCAAGATTCCACTGCGAGTTCAGTGTCACTCACCACTACAAGCGGATTTTACCATCTTCTGAAGTTATGCTATCGCCATCACTTGATATTGATGCGGTTACGCAGTCAAGCGACTCGAGCCACGTTCAAGACAGCAATGAATGGATGACAGCGTGGTTTTTTGCTCATTATGACAAAAAGAAAAATCAAACGTTTGTCTGATTTCTGTTTGTTTGCTGAAGTTATTAACATTTAGAGGGATGTGAGTAGAAGATTCGAACGGAGATGTGTGTCTGACAGAGACCGATCATTGAATAAAACTGCGAATCTGAAAAAGAAACGCCGATAATAATGAATGAATTGATTCAGTACAGATGGTGCTGTGTTCGACAAATATTGTTTTTTTATACAGTACAGTTGTTGGATGCCTGCCAAAATTCAGTTTATATACTCTGGCATCTTTAAAAAAAATTGGGTTAGAATATATTCAAAGGAAAACGTAATTTTTTTAATGGAAGTCATTTACTTCAATATTTGGAGAACAACTTCAAAACCAAACACGACGCGTTTGAACAGCTCATTTTAAAAAATTTAAATCAAGATTTTGGGTTAAGTTGCAATGAATAATGAGTAGATAAGGTATTATTATTGTTTTATACTGCTGTTGTC